ATTTACAAACAAAAAGTCTTTTAAAATTACTACTTTTTTTGTTGCTAACGTTTAAATATATGGACTCTATAAGAAATTGGTTCTCATAAATAATGATCATATATTATTTATATTCAATTTTAAATAATTAAAAAATTTAAAAATTTGTATACATGATGTATATTTTAATCATAACTCCATAATAATAAACTTTACAGATGACCAAAAGTATTGTCATATAATAGAATTCTTATTCTTCTGTTGTCAAATATTTTGACAAATGATATGCTTCTCAATATTTTCTCATTGTTTTGTTTTATCATTGCAAAAAATAGATTATATTATTCGTCTATATTCTAGATAAATAACACTGAAAATAAAATGTAGGAGTATCAAAACATTTTTGAATGTTAGAATTAAGTTGTCACTTTTTATAGAAATATTTATAATCTCATTTGTGTATTGTGCTTGAACATATGTGAAATTACTTTAGAGGCACTTTCAGGTAATGTATGATTATTCCAAAAAATAATTTAACACCTCGGGAGAAGTACATGTAACCAAGATTTTGGAAAGTCAACTTTTATTTGGAGATAAAATTCATTCCCACCTCGTGGGGCGATGCATCAATGTGTAGATACCAATATATCTAGAGATAGAAGAATGTAGTAGTTTATACAGTGATAAAAAATATCAACAATTTTAGTGACACCGTTAGTTATTTCATAGAGATATTTATCCTTTGTTAGTAGAAGTACTTTGTTATAAAGATCATACGATCATGAAGTTTGACTATATGTTGGGTCATAATGTTTCTTAAGTGTTTGAATAAAATTGGCGTTTTGCCAAATTAATTAAGAGAAATTTTGCAATAGTATTGATGTATTCTCCAACGACTATGAATGTTTTTACGAGAACGTTAAAACTAAAATGAAAGAAAATCTATGTGTTTTTTTATTACGAATTAGTTTTTTTATATATATTTTTGTTGGGGTTTGTAAAACATTATTTCACTATTTTTATATGAGGAAATCATTATGTTAATTCTAAATAAAAAAAATCACATATGATCTCATTTTTTCTATATTTTACTTCATTTATGCAATGATATGTTTAATAAATAAATTAATTTATTTTACAAACTTACTCCGCAAAAATCAATCGACACAACGTGCATCGCACGTGCACTTTACTAGTATAATAAAAGGCGTGTACGCATGGAAAACCACGTAAACGTTATTATTCGATCACCATATTTTGAAAGGAAGCAAGTGAATGATTACAAATTGGGACACGTTTTTCCCTCCAATCGATATTCTCAAACAAAGGGCATCATAAAAAGATGAGATAATGAGAAACATCAGTAACCGTGTATAAATCCTCAAACTCATAAATTAGAGTGAAAAATGTGTATAGAAAAAAAAAA